AAGAAAGGAAGAAAGAAAGGAAGAAAGAAAGAAAGGAAGAAAGAAAGAAAGAAAGAAAGAAAGAAAGAAAGAAAGAAAGAAAGAAAGAAAGAAAGAAAGAAGATCTGTCCATGTCCTGGGGAGTACATTTGGACATGCTCCTTAAGGCCCAAAGTCACTGTGCACATGACATGTCCTCAAAAAAGAAGAGAGGCAAACAGTGGAAGGGACCAGAGACCATGCTCTGTCACTCGGTCACAACTCTGTCCCACAGTCACGTCACCCTCATTCTCTTTGTGCAAGCCTGCCTGCTCAGACATGGCGGGACACCCACTGCATGTGAGCCCATAAATCCAGTGGGGGCAGGGGGAGGGCAAGGTGCAGAGACAGCGGCCATTCCAGCCTATGGAAGCACAGGTTGTCCCTCCGCAGGTGCCGCATGGCAGAATTAAGGTTTCAGGGGACTGTGTGAAACCCAGACTCACACTGAAGAAATAGTTCCCCATGGAATGTTTGAGCTTCTGAGTGTGGGTGTGGAGAGACCCAGGAGCTAGGACTGTTTGAAATATGTCAGGTCCTCAGAGTAAGTCCAGAGGAGGGGTCTGCATCCCCGTGGGTTCGAGGAGGCTAGGCTGGGCACTGCCTCAGCCCTCAGACCACGTATTGAGGCCATTTGAGCATCATTTACCCAGAGGAGGGGTCCTGAAGGGGGAGGGAACCCCTAGATACTCGGGGCGAAGTAGACGGTCAGCTGCTTCTGGGGGAGATGAGTGAAGACTGATTTGACCTATCAGACGTATGACGCTATCTCAGGGGCAAGCACGGGGCGGGTGGGCGGTCTGGGGGCGGCGCCTCTTGGCGGGGCTGCGGGTCTTAAGTCCTCTCTCTGCTCACAGAGACTAACACCAGCACTTCCCTCCTCACCACCCCAGAGCCGGATGGCAGAAAGCCTGCGCCTCTTCGACTCCATCTGCAACAACAACTGGTTCATCAACACCTCGCTCATCCTCTTCCTGAACAAGAAGGACCTCCTGGCGGAGAAGATCCGACGCATCCCGCTCAGTGTCTGCTTCCCAGAGTACAAGGGTCAGAACACGTACGAGGAGGCTGCCGTCTACATCCAGCGTCAGTTCGAGGACCTAAACCGCAACAAGGAAACCAAGGAGATCTACTCCCACTTCACCTGCGCCACCGACACCAGTAACATCCAGTTTGTCTTTGACGCGGTGACGGATGTCATTATACAGAACAATCTCAAGTACATTGGCCTTTGCTGAGGAGCCAGGCACGGCCTGCCTGCCTGCCTTGCCTGCCGGTGGTGAAACCCGCGGGGTGTCGGACCCCCGGCTCATGCTAGAGAGAGGCCCAACCCCCAGGGGGCAGAAAACGGGGCTTGAAGAGTGTGTCCCCACCCCCACCCCCAGCCTCTGCCTTCTTGGCCCCACGTCTCAGCAAACATAAATATATTTGGATAGATTGCTAGGTAGGTAGACGACACACACGCACACAAACACACACACACATGCACACACTCACGCACACACGCACACACGCACATCCGGAGATGGCAGAGCTCGCCCAAGTGTCAAGGTTTCCTGAAGTCTTACGGAGCTGCCGATCAGTTCCGAGGAGGCCGTCTTGCCCCCCCCTTCACTCTGCCTTCCTGAGTTGGCCCCATTCTGCATGGGGGTTCACGTTGGACTGCCCCGGGGCGGGGAGAGGCCGCAGGACTCTCTGGGGCCAGGTCCGGCCAGCTGTGCCCATTGCCCGGAAGAAGGCCAGCTCACCAACTGAGCTCCGGATTGGGGACTACCACTGACCAGGGGGGAGGCCCGGAGCAGGGGCTGTTGTTTCCCCCGCTCCCAGCCGCACCCAACTCGGCCACTCTGCACCACATGTGTCCCGTACCTCGGACCCGCGGGAAAACAAGGGACTGTACGGATCGGACATCTAACCACTGGTGGCTCTTTTTAAACAGCTAAAAAGTATGCAGCAAAAATTAACCCAGGAAAATGAGCGGCATCGTTTATTTCAAACTAGGCCAGCTGGGTTTGCGGCTCTCCTTCTGCTGGTCTGATGTTTTATAAATGGAAACCTGGTTTTTCTTCCCTGGCATCTTTTTTTTCTTTTTTTTAATTTTTTTATTTTTGGCCAAATTTTATGTTTCGCAGAAAAAAAACAACGAAACAAAACTACAGTTTCGGACGTGATTAGCTATTCTTTTTTAAATGCAGATTTTCAAAACACATTTCATTTCAGGTGTCCCCTCTGTGTCTGGCTTGTGTGAGTATAGAAGCTGTCATCTGGACGATTCTGCTCCTCGGCTCCAAAGAATTCTGGGGCAGGTGGCACCCCGACGCCAGCCTCATGGGACATATATGTACATAAGCCTCTGCAACGTCCTCTTGTAATTGGTGCCGTTTTCTGCTTCGTTTTTATTTAAGAAAAATAAATGTGATGTATTTACAGAAGGTTCTTTACTAGGAGCGAATGAACAATAGCTAAATGTCTTGGTATTTAAAGTGTAAATTATCTATGGCTTTGCCAAAAGAAGGGGGAGGGGGGCAGGCAAGAGAAGGCACTCCCTGGTCCCCAAACACTCCAAGCCTGAGGTGGGCTGGGAGCTAGCTGCTCAGACTCCGGTGAAGGCACAGCCAGAGTTGTGGCCTGAAGGAACCCCTGCTGGGACCTGGGACCTTGCATTCCAGGCCTTCTAGCCCCAGGGCCCACAGACGCTGGTCACAAAACCCCTGCTGCCAACGGGGACGGCACCACTAGAGCCCTTGCCAAATCTCTCTCAACCCTTTGTTTGGTACCCATGAGTCCAAGGTCAATGTACAGATCGCAGCCAAGGAGTTGAGATGTACAGAGGGAGAGAAGAGCTGATGACCGTATGAAAGTCAAAGATTGTCTACTTTAAGAAAATAAAATACCCTGAATGGAGCCGAACCTTGTTCCTGCGTGCTGTGTGTGTGGCTCGTGTGTGCCTTAGCTCGGTGCCATCTGCAGCAGCTAGAGATGCCTTCCGTGCTGGGGTCTCTCCCACCCCTTCCCCACGTCTACCATACATGCACAGGTAAAGTCATTTTGGACTGAATTTAAAAAGGAGGGGAGTTACAGAAGAGAATAAACCTACCGGGCCCCTCAGACGTGATGACAGAAGGTTGTAAATGATGGTGGTTCTGACCCACTTCTGCGGTTCCCAAGACCCCACCCAGCACTGGCCCTGCTTGCACTGTTACTGGGACTCCTTACCCCACAGATAAGCTCTTCGGGGGTGTCAGGTGGCTTCCCAGAAGGAGGAAAGTATAGGACAGATCCCCTCCTACCCACTCAGTGGCTTCTGTGTTCAGAGGTACTTGGGGTGGTAGAACGGTACCGATACAAGTCAAGGAGGTATTGCCCAACAAGGGCCCGCTTCAGGTGCAGTCAGACTCTGTACAGTTACAGTAATACTCCGCACCTCTGCGGGGGGCCAGTGGTGACCACCTTATCACCACCCTTGGAAGCATCCCAAGATCAAGGTCAGGAATCAGGCAGGTGGGGGGATTCCCTCAAGTCGGCGGAACTCAGTGTTCTTCGTGGGGAACACAGGAGGAGTAGGGTGCTTGGATCCCCACCCTGTGCTGCATGTGGATGGAGCAGGAATCCAGGAGGCGCGCAGGATGACCCTGAAACTGCTTCCTCCAAGGAGAACTCCAGACGGAGCCCTGAGTGTAGGACAGCCGACGTCCACACAAACATACCCAGATACAAACACACAGACCCGGGTCTCTGGTCCACCTACCCTCCTACCTATGTGGGACTCTCCTTCGTCTGTCCCCATGTCACCAACCGTAAGAACCCCCCCCTGGGGGGGGGGCTTTTGTTTAAGGAGATAAAATGTTCAACTGTAAGTCACTAAGACGTACTCTGTGCTTTTAATACCAGCTGTGAAACAGAAAACAGATTTCACTGTGAGCATCTCTAACCTAAAAATACACAGCTGAAGGGAAAATAGAAAGATTCTGCCTCCCTGGGTGTGTGCAGGGAGCAGAGGAGGCCTGACCCAGGAAGTGGCTTTCCTCTAGAGCCCCGTGGGCACCTTCTCGTGACCCCTCCCAGCCCCTGTGTTGGTTACTTGTCCTGTTGCCTTGGTTACAATAACTGACAAAGGCAACTTACCTTGGCTCACAATCTGAGGTTCCAGGCCGTCGTGTTGGGGAAGTCATAGCGGTAAGAGCAGCCGATCACATTGCATCCGTGATCAAGAATGGGGCAGCCCACGTGCCCCTTTTTGTTCCCATCTAGAACCCAGCGTGTGACATGGTGCTACCCAGAATCAAGGTGGATCTTCCCTCCTCCACCTACCTAATCTAGATAGTCCTTCCCAGGGTTGTCCAATGGCTGAGCTAATCTATACTGACCATCAACAGGGCATGCCCAGAACCTGATCTCCCAGGAGAGTCTAGATCCTGTCAAGTTCACAGTATCAACCATCATATCCTCCAGAGACAGACCTCCGTTCTGCGTACCATGCCGGGCTCCCTGGGACAGTTTTTACTTCCTTCCTTCTTGCTCTCCATCCTCAGAGGCCTAGATATTTCCATCCTTCAGGATCAAGCTTAAGTCCACCTCAGCCTGTCTGAAAAGTCATATCCTTCCCCATTATTCCCATCTTCCCACACTCACCCACTCTAGATCAGTATAATAATAGCAAGTTTCACTGATACATCTGCCAGGTACTGTCTGACCTTCCCCCCCACCCTCACCCCTGGGGCCACAGGCTGACCCGGAGAGGCCCAGGAGAGGCCTACAAAGTAAACACCACTAGCCGGCCTTGGCAGGGAAATTGGCAACAGGACTTAAAAAGGAAGTAAGTGGGAAACGGATGACAAGACTAGCTGAAGGGACTGGCCTGCCCTCCGAGGGTGCTGTCCAGCCTCTCCCAAGACACACCACCATCCGGGACTACCACCTTCCTCGGGGACTTGTACGGTCATGGACGTATGGGAATCCACGATGGTTACGGTGATGCCGGCCGCCCTCAACAGCTGTGCTCTACACCACACTCCTAAGAAGCTGACATTGTTGACTCTGCCGCACAAACGAGGAAACGATATGGAGAGATGGCTCTGCTCCAGCATGCGCAGCAGAGGTCAACTCGCAGCATTCACGTGAAACACTGGGCCTCGTGGTATGGGTTTGTAACCCCGAGACTGGGGCGGTGGAAGCAGACGTATCCACAGTGCTCACTAGCCAGCCCAGCCTACCTCCCAGGCAAGTACCCTGTCTCCAAAAAGGATGGACACCTTCTCATCCTTGTTCCCCTCTCTGATCATCCTCTGTTTGAAAGCTTTCCAAATAAACTCATAAAAAAAAAAAAGTGTTCAATCGTATGTGAATACTCTAGAGAAATCTAGTCCAATTAAATAGTCAAAAATGTCTAAAGGAAATAAAACGTTATTAAAATGTTAAAAAAAAAAGAAAGAAAGATGGACAGTTCCCATGAACTAAAACCCACCTATGGCTCCACACACATATATGCCTGTGTGTGTGTGTGTGTGTGCGCGCACACACACACACACACACACACACACACACACACACAGACCCTAACGGGACAACTTCCCACCACCCAACAGCATAGCAAATGACTTGGCCAGTCTACAGCGTCTAAGGCTTGTAGTGGTCTGTCTAGGCCCTAGATAATAGCAGACATCCAAAACAAATGGGCAGAGAGTGGTCCCAGCTGGCACAGGGGTGAATGCCATGGAGGGTGACATTGCACCATAGGATGAGCAGCCACCAGAAGCTGGGTGGCACTCTTGGGGGACTCATCTCACCGACAGAGGCCTAACAGGGAGCTTCGGGACTGGGGTAGTTCCCGCATCAGGTGCCAGCCAGAACAGCCTAGAGTGTGGCCCCAGGGGAGCCAGCCCCTGTGGTAATTCCATTGGTAATGGGCTATTTTGAACCCTGGGGATACTGTGAAAACATCATGGAATCAGCTAAGAAAGCCTTCTTGGCCCAAGAGAGGTGGTGAGGGTAAGTTCTGGAACTGTGGTCAGTCTTGACAGGCTAGCCAGGTGAAGGATCTGTCCTGCAGGAGGTGCCAGGGGGTAGAGAGGAGAGGTGGAGGTACCCAGAAACTATTGACAGCAGCCCAGAAACCACATAGGTCCTTGTAATCAGTCGTGGTCCTAACTAAGGCCAGGGACAGGAGCAGCTTGGACTGTCAGGGTAAGGGCATGGGGGTGGTGTCAGACACAAGACGGGGGGGGGGGATGTTTCCCAGCTGCCAGGAAACTGAGGCAGATGCTGCAGAAGAGCAAGGGTTGCCCAGCTGGGGCTGAGGCATCCTAACGAAGGGCGAGTTTCTCCAGCAGCCCTTCACTTCAGGGAATAGCCGGTCCCTACAGGTTCAGCTCCCTGTGGAAACAGCTTCCCGGATCTCAAGCGAGCCCAGACAATATGACTCCAGGGAAGCTCCCTGCAGCATTTTAACCTTCCCAGGTTCAAAACCGCATGCAAACATCTCCCTGTGGTGCCCACTGCCCCCGCTGAGATCTAGACGTGGTCCGAAGCCAGGGAATGATTTCCACAGGTGGAGGCTGTACCCCATCTCTGGCTGTTCGTGGGTATGTCTGGCTAGAAAGGATACCGGCATTCACCACCAGGGCTTGACCCAAGGCCAGGCAGCCCACATCAGGACCAGAGATAGTAAATTACACCTGCCACCACTATATCTGGGCCAACATCTGAGAGCCAGGCTCAGCAGGAGGAAGTTACGTGAGAAAGGGCCAGGCCAGACTCATCCAGAGAACCAGTCAATGCCTGAAACAAAGGAGGATCCTGGGTGGGAACTCACGGCCACCAGTTTCTGGGGAGCCTGGCCTGGCCGCCCCTCTGTGGCATTTACCTCTTCTATTTTGGTTTCTTCTCGCAACAGGGCAACCCCTTAGGACCTAAGAAGCCAGTCACTGGGACAGGCCCTAGTCCTGGAGCACCCCCTGCTGGTTATTCTAGGAACAAGTCAGACCTTGGTAGCACCAAAGATTCGGAAGGGGAAAAAAAAAACCTGGAGGTATATCCACCTGCTAAACAATATTAGCTACACGCAAGATACTCTAGAGGCTGGTGGTGCCGTGGGAGCAGCAGACATCAAGGATACACTGGTTAAAAAAAAAAAGAAAGAAAAGAAAAAAACCTTCAATGTGACTAATGACAGGAAGCCCCATAACATATGTTTCAAGCTAGGGGAGCACCCAAACAGACGAAACAGGCTCCCACCAACTGGCTACTGCCCAAGGTTACATACTGATAAGAGGGATGCTGGAGCAGAGGTCCAGGCCACACCCAGCTAGGACACCGTGTGACATACAGCCACCCCCCCACCCCCCCGCGCGAACCCCAAAGCCGCAGCACCCAAGTGGTCCCAAGACGCATCTCTACCCAGGCACCCACCACACTGCCTTCCTCCCTCTGTCCATTTTCCAGGTCGCCACCCCAAGTCCTTGCTGCCAATCCTTCCACCAGGCTGCCTTGGCCTCCCTCCTGGGGACCTCGTCCACAGGGATCGGCACCCATCAAGGCCCCGGGGCCAAGAGCTGACGCCGCCGCGGTCTCCGGAAAGGCTGTGGTTCACTGGGCTTGTCTGCACAGCAGATGCCCCACTCATGTTGTTTGAGTTCTACAGGGAGACGGGGAGCATCCGAGAGAGCCCAGGACACCAGAGCTTTCAGAACTCCGGCAGGATTGATTGGTAAGGTCTAGAAAGATGGGCAAAGCTCCATTCTAGCTATGACCTTCGCAGGCTAAACGTGAAAAATAATGGCTCCTATTTCCTGGAAAGCATGGCGGGATGTCTTCACGAGCTCAGGATAAATGGGACTGTCTTTTGTAGCAATCCCCCACCTTGGGGAAGCACAAAGGAATGACTGGGGAGACCGACTTCCAAATGAAGAGCT